TAATTTTTTTTTAACGGTACAACATACAAGTATATACCTAATTGAGTAATAATTATATTTTTCTAACGCCTAAAAAATTCAATTCAAAGTCTCCCTCGAACCGTATACACGACAATAAAATCTAAATGCTGGACTTGGAACGTATGTCGGGTTTTTTTATTCTTCTCTACTCGACAAAAACAACATCCTCACAGAAAAAGTCTCTTGTTCAAATAAAAAAATAATATTATATATTTTTAAAAAATATTCTATTCTTTCCTTTTCAGAAAAATCAATCAATTAAATATCCTTTTTTTCTATTTCTTCAAAAATTGAGAAATCAATCACTGTTGCGAAAAAAAAAATTAATGTTAAATAAATATGTCAATATTATTTTTGTATTCAAAGTAAATGAATGTTTTTTTCTGCGAGGATAATAAATATAGGAACAACAAAAAAATCTGATTAAAATTTAGACGATGAAAAAGTGAATAATATTTGCGTATAATCTATTTTTTAACCGTAGACTACTGTCTTTTCTATCCTTAACCGTGGGCGTCTTTACGCCGATATCTCGATATTTTTCATCATCGTTTATCATTCAACTCCTATCATGTTTTTTTTATTTAAACTTTGTCCGCCTCGCGTCATCCAATCCAAGGATCTGAGATAATTGCACACTTGTTAAGGATGAAGAAAAAATATTGAAGATGATTCAAACACTAGTATATAGTTCTTCAAAAATAATTCTCATCCTCAGACAACTGTGTAGTTTCACTCATTTACCCTCTTTTGCCTCTTACAATCTTCAGGAAGATAAAGAGGCTACGATATACGTCATTATAACAACTCTATGTTCCTATGTACATTTGTACCTTTGCCAACGTTTCAAGACGATTCGATTCAAAAGTCGAGTTCTCAAGAATTATCGATAAAATATTTCAGAGTTAGATATAAATTTATAACGTTTTCTTTTCATATTATTTATCCAAACATTTATTTTTATTTATGATATAAATAAATTATTTTTCTTTCTTTTTTTCACTGAGATTATTTGTTGATTCTAGAACTCGACATCTCCAACCGTAAAGTGTGAAAGACAGCTGGTTTTTTTTTTTTTTACTAGGTTGCGTCTTGACTATTTAATTTTGTTAAAATGAAAACTCAATATTTCCAGTAGCGCGCTCGTTATAAAATTTGTTCTTTCTAACCAGTAACAACGGGGAAAATTGTACACGATTATCAGGTTACATTTAAGTAACCCAAGATTGTTTTTTTTTTTTTATTATTCAATGCTCGGAATGAAGAGCGAGTAATTTATTATTTTTTCCAAGGGTTAAATCTGTAAAACTTAATCAAGTTTGAGCACGAATCACGCGAGAATAGGTGATTTTTTATAACAACTTATTGTAACAAGAGTCGTCATAAAAATTGGCTGATCAACGTCTCTCACGCAATTAACGCGAATCGAGATAATGCGCAGTATTTGTTATTTATTTTTTACTCTTTTCTTATTCATTTATTTTTTTTTTTTTTTTTTATTATTTTTGTACATCATTTACGTCTATTGAAGGTATAATACCGATTAACTATTTATATATACATCAATATGTATATATAGCACTGTTTTCATTTTTTTTTATTTCAATTAATTAATTAATTATACTGAAAGAAAACAGAAAAAAAAATTATTCCATTAAAAATGTCCCGTAATAATAAATAAATAATATTTTTTTTTTATTTTCTTCATAAAAAATGAATTTCTAAACAAACATTCATTTTTATATTTTTAATAGAATAATTAATATGATAAAATTTTCTTGCAGTTTAATTAACGAATGTTTTTTTTTTTTTTCATTTAAATATTTATTTCAGCGATAAATATACATTTAACATTGATTTATTTCGCGAATTTGAAGATCTAGTGAGTATACGGTGTTGGGAGAGAATAGTTTACTATTTACGAGGAAGTCATACGATGTAAATATTTGAATAACTCCGGTCAGTGACCTACGACATAGACATAGACATAGACAGACGTACGTGGACTTGACACCGGATCAATCAGCGCTATTGATATATAAGAGCTGCAAATATGATGGCATGCTGCATGAAATAAGCATGTTAAATGACTCAAGGGTTAAGGCTGATCAATAAAACATCACTTCCACGTCCAAACAACACATCTCTATGTGACAGACTATTACGTACTCGATACGATAGTAATTACGTAGGCATTAGTATTTTTATTGAATTTATGCTCGAATAGACGTTTCATTTGAGCACGAGGCTCTCTTCTAGGAATTCATTTTCGAGCGTATTAATAAGAAGGAAAAAAATTGAATTTATGGCTCTAATAATTTGCACTTGATTTAAATTCAACTAAAAAATTATCATGATTGAATGTTATATTTCTTGACTTATTTCATGTATATGTGTTCATTGTGTTTGTTGAGTCTGTAATAATTCTTCTAGTTGTCTAGCACAGCTGTAAAAACGTTTCTTAACATCTAAAATTGTTTATTTTAGTTTTTTTTTTTTTTTATAATATTTTTTTCTTTTTTTTCATATTCATATCTCACTAACTGCTATCTTATAGATTACACTCAACGACAAATCTGCACAGAATAACTACAGTTGGATAGACTTAAATTCGATAAATTTATTCGGGATAATATTAATGAGAGAGTTTAACTAGGAAAAATGTTACTAAAGTTTGTTTTTTTTAAGGATATTCGCTTCATCTTCAACGTGATAAGCAATTATTTATCATGTGATAATATGTATAAAGTTACGCGCTATTGCCGGTACAGCCATTTTAGGTTTATTCTTAAAATCGCGCAATCGACTTCCAACTCAGCTGTTTCATTTCATTCTCTCTTTTATTCTTAGTATTTTTGTTTTTTAATTATTTTTTTTTTTCTTTTTTTATACACCTGAGTTTCTACCGTAGATTAATAAACTGTAATTGCTTTTTATTTTAATTTTAATCTTTTATTTCCCTTAGTATTCACTTCAAAACTCGTAAATAAATGAACGATAACTTTGTGTTTCCAGACACCCCGTTTTAAAAACTTTCGAAAAATTTGCCATGTCCTCTTTTGGTAAGACTCAAAAACCTAAACTTTTTTCATAATGATAATTTTAAACTCTATTCATATATCAACTACTCATAACCATTTTCATACATCGATGCTACACCTTCTCACTTGCCATTTACTATTACTAGATATTAATTGTAGCTTCAACTGTGATGAGACGACTCGATATATTATAATATATATATATATATATTGGACAAGGTCGAGGGGGCGCATCTAGCTCAATAGCAATCAGGGGTACCGGCCGGCGAAAATCGTACCCATAAATCTCTCTTTCTAAAAACATCAATACAATTTTTTTTTTATTTTTTAAATTTTTTTTCACTCGATTTGCTCATTTTTTTCGAAGGTGACACACGCGGAGAACGAGAGCATGACTATCGCGATTCAGACTTACATAGGCCGTAAAGAAAATAAAACGAACGATAATTGGATATCAAATAGATGTCTGACGCGAATAAATCGACATAAAAATCTCGGTGGGTGTATTTTATTACTTCAACATTACATTTATGATTTTTTGGAGCATCTTCGTTCCCCGTGTGAACCATCATCTCCTTCACATGTCAATATATATCATATATATACATATAAATACATAAATATTTATATGTATCTATACATACATAATTTATATCATAAGTTTATATAGCAAAGGTACAAAATCGTATGGTGACAAAAGTAAAAAACATTACGTTAAGTATTATTTTTAAAACTTACTTAACTATGTATTCGATCGATATAGAAAAAGACTATTTACTATATATAATAATATATATATTTATTCATTTATTTAATTAATTAATTAATTATTATGTATGTAGATTAAATTGTATTGTGTTCTTCATTAATTTAGGAAGAATTCGCGTCGTATCGTTTATTAAACGGCTTGATATTTACGTCGCGAGATTACACACACTCACACACATCCGCTAAAAACGATAGCAAGTAAATCGGTGGCTAACGCAAACGAGTTAGCATTTTGCCACAATGTTTCTCGTTTCAACAGACTTTTTCCTCTCGCCCATTTCGTCTCTCTAACGACGGGATCTGTTCAATACAACAGAGTGTATTTCACAAATCGTCGCTGAGAAAAACTTGACGAAACCAATACGTTAGAATGAAAAGTGCTTTTATGATTTTTTAAAAAACATTTTTTTTTTTTTTTTGCTTAAAATCCACTCCAATGGGATTATTTAAATGTAATAGTACGGAGTGTTTGGCAAGGGGCTTCGCCATTAAGTCTAAACATGATTTTCTAGAATAAATTTTTTTTTTTTGGCGTCTGAAAGTCGCCCCCCCTTACAATAATTTCTGCTTAATTCTAAAACATTATCAAACCCTAATCTACAGAAACGACAAAGTTTAAGGACTTGCGTCTGAAAAACGCTAAATATAATATTCTATATATAATAATATATTACTAATAATGAAGAATAAAAATGCAAACAAAGAGAAACGGTCAAACCGTGATTCCAACTTTGTAACTTTTTTTTTGTCTTTTCTTCTTTCAATTGCTGTACAAACACTCTTATTACATTTATCGTATTTTCACTTCAACGAATCTGACTAACTTGCATAATAAATTGAAAATAAGTAGGGAGTACGCGTACTAGCAATGTGCGACACTATTATACTCCTTAATCACGTTTTATCATACGCTTTTTCTCATTGTCAATATATTATATTGTCGCGACAGCTGCGCCGCTAAATGAGGCGATTTTATTTTAATTGAGGGAAGGGGGGGAGTAAATAGGATGCAACACAACTAATCGATTACGTCAAAACTAAGAATAAAAAAAAAATTATAGAGGTATTTGGCACTGTGAGAAATATTATTAACTGTGACGTAGACGAAAATCAAAAGTTTCTTCGTCAACGGTTGGTGCAACTAATTTTCCTCTGTAGTATGAATATACCTTTTACTCAACTAGAATTCATATATATTTTCCAAGCATTTATTTTATTTCTATCTCTCAGCGTGGATGATTATTATATGGTAGAATGTTGAGGTACACGCGGTTAATTACACTACCTTGGAACCGAGTGAAAAAATTTGGGAGAGGATATTATTTTATTCTCGGGGACGGCCGCTATGGGTATGCAGCAACGACCAGCATCGCCAGAAAAAGAAAAAAGATGGGTATGATGTCCTCGAAGAATTCGAGTTATACTCTCCGTTTATTTTATTATGTTATTATTCTTTATTATCATTTCATAATTTTTCATATTTAAAATCCACGTGTTTTGCTTTTTATCTTTACGTTTATGTTCATTTTCTGACCACGCAGTTCGGTTAAAATTTATCAATTTTGTCCTTGACAGAGAGAAGAATAGGTTTTATATTAAAATACACCAGTGAAAGAATGATGAAAATGAAAAAGTTGGAGGTGAATTCATCTCTTTTCATTTATATGTGTAAGTAAAGACTGTATGTTTTCATTATTATTTTCTATCTTTCATACTTAATGTATATCTCTCTGTTAAAAAATCCCGGAGAATTTTTAGTTTTCGCTAAAATGAATACGCGGAGTTAATATAAATCTTCGCGACGATTTGTTAAAAAACGTATAACTTTGTCACACCTCAAACAAAACAACATGGCCGCCTAGACACGTTATTCACCACATATATATAAACTAATAAAATGTTAAAAAGAAAACAACGTTATCGATTATCTAAGTAACAAACAATAGTATTTCTTTCCCCCTAACAAAAGTGGTTTTTTCGTCGTACATGTAAATTATGTTGATGCTTTTTTTTTACTTACTAACTATTTAGATATACCAGTATTAATAATAATTAATCAGTAATAAGTAATAATAATAATTAATAATAATAATAATTAATTAATTAATTGATTAATAATAATAATTCGACTAATACATGAGACGGGCGTGTTGTATGTTGCGATCAGACTGCCTGATTAAATTAGTAACGCAGGCCGTCATTTTATACGCAAAAAATTAATGACACCAAAGATGAAATAATTAATTACGTTATATTGACGTGTATCACCCGAGCAATCATCATTCTGTGTGAGCACTTGAATGAAAAATTTCCTGCATCATTGGAGTATGAAGAGAGATCGTAAAAGTTATAGCAAAATCAATACAATGAATGTGCACTATTTATCCACTTCCAACATCCACTCCGTCTCTTGTTGATATGCTGGAAGAGGTCTACAATAAATCCAGATGATTTAATCTCAATCAGTAGCAAGTCTGATGAGGATAATGATGATGATCACTCATGATGTCTAGGGTAATACAGATGATAGTTATAATCTTCTGACCTTTGTCATTCAGCAATTAAAGTCGATCAATGTATCGTGATCGGTCAGACTGACTGCAACTTATTAATTTATTATTTAAATCCATAGATAATATGCCCGGTGCAAGTATTTCCGCTAATTCAAGAAAACTAATTTCTTTGTCCTTGGCTAAAGTGTTGCACGGACATCCAGCTAGTTTTCCTAGTGGTTAGGGCCACTGGCTGTAGAGCTGAAACTGTTCGCGGGTGAAACAAGTTGATAGAGGTTTCACGAAATGAGCATCTACCACACGGCAGTGAGGACATGCGAATACACGACTGTAGTCGGAGTAGAAATTCAATCTCTGATGTGGATAAATTAATGGTTTTTGGCAGCTGTTACACTGTAACAAAATTTTCAAGTTAATATATGTTTGTTGATTTAAATAATAAATAATATTTCATTTATTTAAAATATATTTCAAGATGTGATCAAAGGCATGAACAGTTTACCTTCAGACGTTCGGTGCAACAAGGCATTGCAGCAAAAATATCATAGCTATACATTGTACCAAGAACCAAGCTAGATCCATCCCATTGAACAGTACAAGCACGACAGCGTATTGGAGCTGATCCACTTCCTTCCAAGCAATTCATGCAGACTGCTGATAGATACTGCGTACGTCCTTCCACTTTTACCTGTGATATAAATTGTTATTAGAAATAATAAACCATAAATCCATAGAAAATACTTGAATTTATTCTATTTATTTATCATATTTACTCAAGTTTATCTATCAATTCAATTTAAAAAATTACATTTTATGATATTAATTTAAATTCTTCTCTGTTTATATAACAACTCTGCTTTTATAAATTACGACAAAAATTCTTTTATTAATTTCATTAACAAGATTTTTTGATGATAACATGATAAAAAAATAAACCTATTAAATATTATAGAGTTAATTAAAATTCCAAGATGATAAAAATGAATTTACAGCTTATTTAAAAATACTAGTTTGCATTTGAATCAACTTAAAACGAGTTTAATTCAAAAGAAATAATAAAACTGAAAATTTACTGAGTAAATTAAATGATTAAAAGTACTAACAATGTCATGGAACATCACATAGCAATAAATGTCATAAAGTAACTGAGCTATGATTGATACAAGTAAAAATACATACCTCAGCACAGGCATGAGAATGCTGCCGTGGCGACAAAAAGAAGGTACCATCAACAAGAGGATACCTATCGAAGACTAGCATAGCCGCCCGGCAAAGGACACAAGAAACACGTGACCACTGGAGAGCTGCGAGAGTAGACAGGATGAAGCATCTAGTGTCGTCATTGCCATGATTCCCCTCGTCTTCCATCTGAAACATTTACGACGTTCATTATTAATAACAGTAAAAATCCATAAAAACTTTATTATCTATTATTTTTTTTCTTGTATATAAATTTCCCAGCACTATAACATGCCAGCTAATTACCAAAAATGATAGCACGAGAATGGTTTATATGAAAGTTAAAAGTACCATCGCTAGATTTTCAGGGACTTGAAAGAGGTAGTGGACGATAATATCTGAATATTTCGTGGCAATATAAACCCTGGCGTAGTAATAACGCCAGTAGGGTTGTCAACAAAGGTTGTGTCCTTCTCGATCGTTAAATTTCAACAGAGCCCTAAGGCAAAGTAGCAGCAGCATCGTGAGGGTTGTGAGTGGAGTATAAGACAGAGATAAAAAATTTTCCGTAACTGGAATTCGTGTCTCTATTCCTCTTTTACGCTTTACGAATGCGGACATTTACAGCCACCGTAAATTAAATACGGGTAGAAACCGTAAGCCTGGGTTATACCAAGCATAGTGGGCGCAACATGGAGAATATATTCTTGGAGAAAAACTTCCTAGTCAAGTTGAATACTCCAGCTGATTTACTTGCCATGTAGGAAAGACTTGACACGCCCTCTAAGGCCGTTAACGACCTGATAAAATCAAGATACCGCTAATGCTGATGTTCTAAGGATTCTGTTAATTGAGATACAAGCTTCTGATCCCGTAACATATCCCACAGGCAATAGATAAAAATTGAAAAACCATGATAAACGCCTTTGGCTACTACTCAGCAAAGTAGATACATTATGTTTTGATCAGACATTTGACTCTACACAACCCATATGCTAGCCCATCAGAAACAAACAAAGACCCTTCCCGCACATACTGGAACGGAATTGCCAGAAGGCCTCGATAATCCTTCAGGACTACAACCAGGGGGTGTTTCAAAGGATGGGCATTCAAATTTATAGCGCGTCCTTGCCACGACCATCCGTGACCAAATGGATGGACGTGCTTGGGGAAGTGTTTCACACCATTCTGCACGACAACGATGTTTTAAGGTACACATATAGGTACGGAAGAGAGGTAGAATCCTATCAAGGTATTTTTATCAGCCCTTGGGATTTCTTGAATGTTTCTGGAGGTTTTTATTCAAAGCTTTAATGTCAATGCTGACCATCTATAATTCAAGACAATAAAGTAGAATATTGATGTTGTAAAATATACATACTACATGTGAACGAAATTTTATGTTTCCCTTTCTTGTTTCTTTTTTCTTCATGTCTTTAAATATTTCTGAAGTGATGTTTTTTTATGCTTTTTAAACTAGCACTTTAACTGACACTTAAAATACTTTGCAATTTTCTCTTATACGTGCATACATTTTGTAACATTGATGTTATTCGTGAAATTAACTTGATTTAAATTCCTGTAAACGTTGCAACTTGGATATTTTGTTGAATCGACATGTGAGAGGCCAATCAGACACGTGATATCTCTTGTATTTTTTTTTCTTTCTAAAGTAAGAATTATTTCCGCTATTTCAACGGGATGCTTTTATCAGTAAATTTAGCAGAAAAATAGAAGTTTTTAAATCTAGCTGTCGGATGACATTTCATCGTATCTTGTAGAATTTACGAGTAAGCCAAAGCAGTGTCACCTTGGTCCTTTTTCATTGATCTTGGTCGTATAGACTCTACGTGCGGTGGTTGAATAACGACAGTGGAATCGCAATCTTCTAGATCAGGAGATTGTTTAAATCGTGTGCTAGCTCGGCTAAAAATTCGTATCTAAGATTTATTGGCATTGGAAAGCGATTGGAGATAAAAACGTGCCCGCAGGATTCTTTGGGTGACAAAGTAAAAGCGGAGCGATGAAAAACTTTTCTTCCCTATCTGTTCTTCCTCTTTCTTACTTTCGAGAGCCTTTCAATGGCACGCTAGTGACCCACTGCTATTCCTCGGGGACAGCAATCCCAGACAAAGACTTGTCTCTGTGTGATCTGGTTAGGGTGCTTCTTCGCGCGTAGAAAAATAATCGATGCTGGGCATTTTCTTTGTCTTTGTTGTTGGAAAATGGACGAGTGGCGAAAAAAGATGGGAATTTATGTCAGACAGATAGAGAAAACAAATAATGGAAGAACAATGAACGACTTCTGTTGGATCGTAAACACAAAAAGACACGATCGATTTGCTTGTCTGACTATCTAGATACGCTTTAATGAGCACCATGCTGATCTCGTGTGATAAAGAGATATTCGCCAGAGACTTTTACGAGTCGAAATAATGATCAAATGAAATATCAGCAGTAAAATTTATACAAAGAAAACATCATTCGCCCTATGCTTCCAAATACATTTTCCCCTTTCTTCGTATCGAGATGGATATAAAAATTGTTATTATTGGAAATAAAATCCTCTGCTTTGAATCTTGGAGGATTCTAGAGTAATCCAGTTCCTTCTAAGGAGCTTACCAGAAAGATGATTACTAGTAATTGGCGTCTGAAAAAATTTATAAGCGACTTCATTTATCTTGATATCGTTTTACCGAAACAAAAAAAATTATATATATAAATGGCATTACGTTAAATACAATTGTGAACTTTCAAGTTGTTCTTTTTTTTTTAATAATAAAATCTTGGAATTGATTCTAAAAATATTGACTGATAAATTTGAATAAAAATTTTACGATTCTTTTGACAAATAAAATTTTAGAGCTTATACAGCAGTTAAAAATGCAGATGGAAATTTTTTATTTTATTTTTGAGAAGAATTTACTGCTGATGGTAATAAAAAAGTAATTAGAAATAAGAAAAGTTTTTGGGTAAATTTATTAATCATTAGAGCATCATTATTTTTATCAAAACATGAGTTTTATGATACATTAAAGTAGTAAAACTACACAAAAAAAATGAAGAAACAAGCTTTTTCTAATTTGTAAATTATTTTTATTGAATAAAAAGTAGATTTTATTGCAACTAAAATAGTATTACGAACAATAAAAATTTTTTTAAAAGCCTAACAAATAATTAAAGAGTTTTTTCTTGATAAATAAAATTCTTTATTCAATTAAATAACTAAATGTTAGCTTATTTTTAACATTCACACAAAAGTCAAGATCAATTTTCACCGAAAGTTTATGTATGCCTTCACCCTTTACAGCATATCTAGTGGTAGATATTAATTATGCACTACAGTAGGGTCGACGTTTGCACGAGCGAGTTCTCGAATTACAGTGTGGTAGATCTCGAAAATCGTGAGAGCGTGCGAATCCCTTAATTATCTAGTCTCTATCTCGTTAGTTTGTTCCTCTTTCCCCACTTTTCGACATTGCATAAAGTCAATGCTAAAGTCATCTCGGTATCCACTAACTACCAAACTTTTTAATGATGATATTATCTGAGCTAATAGCTTTTTCTCTCCATTTAACTGACAAAATGTCAAGTACAATTCAACTAAATCGTTTGTCTGTGTTACAATAGAAGCAAATAAAGAAACGGTTATCGATTGCCGACCGATTGAACTCGATCACAATTCACAATAGAGTTTTATCAAAGGCTTGGCTGAATTCGAAAATCAAGTAAAATCGTACTGAGCACGAGATCAAAAGGGGCAAGGGGGAAGGAGAGTAAAGTAAACACAGGTCCGTTTGTGTACTGCTACCGGAATTACGCATCGACTACTTTGGCGTGTGCGTATACATCGAGGGGGAGATACTAGCAAATCGATAGTATGTACGATACACTAGTATACTGCACTGCTTGTCAAAACCCCCTCGGCCATTTATACCAGAGATAACGCGAGCTAAAATCGCGTCCCCATGTGCCGGGGATTATAAGTAGAATTAGGGTGACAGAAAGTACAGTACGCGAATTCGACATTTTGTTGAGATTTTTCCTTTGTCCTCCATCTTGATAATAACTATCGACCGGAATTCATGCGTAAGACTTCGATTATTGAAAATCATACGTGACATTCGAGAGAGGAGTGAGATTAAGTCGATGATTATTTCTGAAACTCGAGATTAAATCGAGTGTAAAGAAAAAAATGATAGAATGCCAGAGAGAATTGTTGGAAATGGTTTAGACATTAAACTGTTGAAAGTAAGCTGAGATTTATTGGTTTTTAAAAATGGAAGAATTTAAGAAGAAGGAATGCACGAGGGAAGAATTATGATAAACCTACACCCCTTCTATGGAAATGCACCCAACTGGAGTCTAATTGAAATTAAAACTAAGAAACTGATAAATTTTATTTTTGTTCTCTTTTTTTATAGATTTTAATATCGAGCAAGCTCCGCGGTTACTAATTCGACTGTCTGCACAAAAAATGGAAGAATACTCAACAGAAAATATGAAAGACTAGAGGAGAAGGAGAAGGAGGGAGCTTCGTTTGACGATGGGAATTAAATTAATCAGAAGCAGCTCATCCAAGTGTTCAATCTCTCGGTTAACTGAAGAATTTTAATTAAACCATCTATTCTTCTTCTTCCTTTATTTTTAATTCCATAGCAAATAGCGTATTATCGAATAATAATTTTCTATAATAGACAACGGATCACTTTATCCTTAAAAATACAAATGAACTGTAAATATTCCTTTCACAAGATGTTTTCACTTGCATTTTTTATTCAAACTTTCGGGAAAAAGTTGAAAAGCCAGGAGGAGTGATGTATCTGAAGGGAGTCTACTGTATGAATAGAAGATATCGTATTTTATTTATCTTTTTAGGAATCATATTTTAAGAGACTTATTTAAAATAAACTTCATTCATGTATTTACGACATCCATCACCCGCCCCGTCCGGAAATCACGTCGACGACAGACTCAAACTTGCTAGAGCCACCCTCTTAACTCAGAGGCAGAAGAGGAAGCTGTTGGTATCAACCCCCGGCAAAGCCACGGGCGGTGGTAGTAGCATGACTGCCTTGTAAATCAACCACGCGTCGTCGAAGAGGCTAGGGAAAAGCCATTCCTGGCGCCTGGTCGGAGATGCCTGCCGAGTGCAAAAGGTCGAAACTTACCGCGGAACGCGAGCCACA